TTTTTTTGTAAAAATATCTACTGAAATAGTATCACAAATTACAATGTTCTCAAATCAAGAAATTATTGCATGTAGTATTTCATGAAAATGTACAGTTTTGTAAAAATTAGTACAAAACTTTACTATATAGTTTTAAAAATTTGAGAAACAATAAAATCTTAGAGAATTAAAACATTTGCTTACTTGTAGAATATTACAAAAATTAACAAGAGTGTTCCAATTCTAGCATTTTAGTGTTGATTTTTATAACATTTTAAATTTGTGTAGAATTTCATAGATTCTGGCAGTTATATTTAATTTTTTTGTAGAATTTTGTAGAAGTATTTCCGGCAGGAATACCACAAATTGTCGCCAAATACCGAGCAGAGCTTGCAGATCGTCGTCAAGCTCGGTATTTGACGACAATTAGCAGTCATCAAACTGTCTTGCGCAAATCTTGCTCGGTTTTTTGTTGTGTCAATTCGCTTTTATGTCCGCAAATTTTGCCAGCAAAACACAAGCTGATCGCGGACACGTACTATGGTATTTGGCACCAAGTTTTGAGCGAATCTGATGCCAATTTGGCAACAATTTGCTTACATACACGTACAAAAAATATCACTCCTGGATCCTTATATAAATGTTAAGGGGAAAGAAGAGAATCTATTTATGAAACATCCACGGTAATATCAGCAAACGTCGATACCGATATCACTTCTCGTCTCGTTAGATCGCTCAAAGAAACGATCTAGCACCAAATCTCACTTCGCAGAAGTACTCATTCATAGACATTTACTCGTCAAATCATTTTGCGATGTCTATATTTTGTATCGATGTGTATTTTGTTTCCACATACCAAATCGCGCGAGATTTGATCGAGTTTAATTTAAGGCCGGATTGCGAGCGTAAAATGAGATAAGCGTATCTGTAAAATGCGCTGCGTTACCACAGGCATAACATTTTATTTTTTAAGTACACGAATCTCAGAGAAGCCATACAATGTGTCATGTTGACAGTACGCCCGATTACAAGCGCACTTGTAAACGTTTATTTGTATTTTTTACGTATACACACTGTTTACACTGTCGATGCATGAGTGTTTATTCAAGCGGAGATGTGCTGTGATTTACGTCCAATGTACTTACTTCCGTGTGAGGAGAAAAGAATTGGAAATAAAATAAAAATACAGATATATGCGACATCAAATTGAAGCACAATCTATCTGATTGAATACGTATATATCTCTCTACATTTATACCTGTATCCGACGTATGTTTTCGCAAATTTCTTGTAATAATACAAACTTGTATTTTGTATTATAAATTTCAATGGCTACGAAAGAGAACTTTCGACAAATTTCGAATAACTTAAGTTAAATATATCTGTTAAATATATCCGATAAATTTATCGGATTCGTAATATTTACGTAATCACGATGTAATCATACCCTAATAGCACAGTGCATTGGCTGAACAGTGGCTAAATATTGGTCCAATGTTGGGAATATTAGAAATGCATTGGCCGATATTGTCCAACGTAAAGCCAATATGAGCCATGAAATAAATATAAATATTGCACGATAATAATTCTATAATATTAGATTTATATTGCAAATGCATTAGCCAATATTTAACAATGTAATAACAACATTGGTCTAATATTAATGCAATATTCCTAAATAGACATTTTCGCTAAATAAGAAAAGGCGTCCATCTTACAATATTGGACCAGTATCGGGAATATTAAATATTTAAATTAAATAATTAAATGAAATTATATAAATTAATAAAACAATTAAATTAAATGTTAGATTTACATTATTTTCCAATATTGCGCCAATATATTATTGTGCTACTAGGGTAATAAAGATAAAAAATAATTATTAAATTGTTATTTTTTTATCTTCATTGCAATTAAATTGTGATTACATAAATATCCCATATAGCACCGAAGCTTTCAGAAACATTGCAACAATGTTTTCTGAAATGTTTCTGAAATCTTCGGTGCTGTATGGGATACGAATCCGATAGTTATTTGAAATTTGTCGGAAGTTCTCTTTTATAGCTACGAAAGATTATAATTAAATTTTTCATGGATAACAACAAAGTCATGCAAATAAATGCATAACTATAAAGACAGTAATAAGTGACAAGAAAAACGTGGGTCAAAGTTAAAACAGGAATGAAAAGTATGATGATTCATAGCTTAAATAATGCCCGTTCTTGTCACTGGCGGCGCTGTAGACGTTGGCAGATGTTTTACTGCGCGTGGAGAGCTAAACAGTTCATAGTATTATATAGTTACAGGTTGAAGTAGTTCTTCTCTGTGTAGTGTTTGGTAGTGTTCAGTAGTGTTATATAGCAGGTTTCGGGAACGAAGCTAGTTTTATGATGGTTGACTTGTTTTAATAGTTGGATCAGTAGGCAAGTTGTCAAGACTTTTGTACTAAAATCTCAGATCGCCGAATCTATCCGAAATAGATTTGCAAAGTCTACTACAAATTTTATTAGTAAAATAACAGTGGCAGAAAACTAACGAGACGAGCTTCCCGATGCATACTCGATTCTCGATTGCCAAACCCGCATTGACAGTAGCGACTTTATTCAAAACTGTGGCAACAAGAATCTTATTTCACATTTTTTATAGTTTTATCGGCACAAAAATGCGATAAATATATGCTTCTTGACATGTCAGAAAACTAATTTATTTTGCAACGTATAGCATAATTTTTTCAGACAGTGCTTTTATATTTAAAATAATCGTTTTAGAAAAGTTAGAAATACCGAAGACTCCTTATTTTGTTATAATTGAAGTCTCCTGCTCAGTGCTACAGTTGTCCTCGTTTAATGACGTCATGGTAGAAGGGAGAAATGACATGCTGAGAGTTCTTGCGTCACATTTTCACATGAAGAGACACGAAAGCCTATTAGTACAGGTTATGCGCAGGCGTGTGAATACTCTGCTGGTGAAAATTTTTCTCAGAATTTTTCATAAGACTTCGAATTTTTCAGATTTTTTCTACAAATTTTGATTCTATAATATTCTATAGATTCTAAGGTTCTATTTTAAAAAAAGATAAATACATACTTTTCAGAAGTGCTGAGAAAATTTATATTTTTTCTAGAATTTCATAAATCCTGAAATATATTCTGATATTTCTAAGATTCCTCATTCTATAATTTTAGACGTGATATTATAACATTTGAAAAAAAATGAAGATATTTATAGAGATTATAGAATGAGAAATCTTAGAGATAAAATATTTCGTAATATTCAAATAAATAGAAAATTCTGAGAAAAGAAATACTCTCTCATTATTTCTGAAAGTAGTCGTAATTCGTATAAAAATTTTCATCGGGATACGCTATCGCATTCATTTTACGGCTGTTTATTAACTATCGAAGGAAAAGGATAGTTTACGGGCAATTTTACAAGTGTACCGAAACGATATGATGTTTTTTCATCCAAATATCTTTTCATTTTTAAATGTAATGCCAGCCTTCTCAGCGTGTCGTCCAAATATAGGAGAAACTGTTTCGTAGTCGCGTTAATAAATACATACAAATTTTGTTTAAGCATTTAACACCATTCTACAATGAATCGTCAGTCGTTAATTGAAAGTCGGGACTGTGTGTTGGGCCTTGTTGGCCTTGTTCTGTCTGGACGAAAGAAGAAGGACCGACATACAGTCCCGCCCTCTGATTAGCAACTAATAACTCGTTGCAAAAAATGGCTCTTAATGATCTTTATTACAACTACATAGATACCATGTCCAAGAAAAGAGGAGTTTCTCTCGACGAGAAACGTATGAGAATGCTAGAAATATTTTATGAGAAAAAGGAGTTTTTCACGCTAAAGGAACTCGAGAAAGTCGCTCCGAAAGAGAAGAGCATTATAGTACAATCTGTCAAAGATGTATTACAAGGTTTAGTGGACGATGGTTTGGTGCAATCTGGCAAAATTGGCACTTCCACATATTTCTGGAGGTTCCCAGGGTAATATTGCGGGAAAATTGTATGGCCACACTTTAATCGTAAAAAGAAATAACGAAATATTTAAGAAATAATATTCTACAGAGAAAAAATTGCTGCAACAGAACGCAAAATAGATGATACAAGCAAAAAGTTAACAGAGGCAGAAATTAAACTTGAGGCGCTAAAGGAAGAGGTACGAAAGGAGAAGGTGAGAAACAACGTTTAATTTATTAAGGGCAACTTTCACCAAGCTCCGGTTAACCCAACCGGTCTAGTAACATGCAGGATTGCAACCGAATCTGATGAGAAATCTGATGAGAATCTGAGAAAATATATCAGATTCGGTTGCAATCCTGCATGTTACTAGACCGGTTGGGTTAACCGGAGCTTGGTGAAAGTTGCCCTAAGGCCCGGTTTCACCAACGCGAGTTAATCTAATCGGTCGGTTAACTT